TAATTTTTTTTTTCAACGTTTATTTATTTTTGGGACAGAGAGAGACAGAGCATGAACGGGGGAGGGGCAGAGAGAGAGGGAGACACAGAATCGGAAACAGGCTCCAGGCTCTGAGCCATCAGCCCAGAGCCTGACGCAGGGCTCGAACTCCTGGACCGCGAGATCGTGACCTGGCTGAAGTCGGACGCTTAACCGACTGCGCCACCCAGGCGCCCCTACATTGGCATTTTTAGTAACACTAGCAAATTGGCATGGTATTTATAAAGTTGAAGAATTTTGTGGTCGAAAGGTGAAAATGCAGTTATACTTTGGATTTGACAATAGGGATTAATAAGAACAGATGCTTGTCGTAGTTGTAAAAATGTAGCAAATTAAGGCACAGTCAAGGTGTTCCTTTATCAGACATTACTTTTACACTTCATCTGGGGCTAAGGTCACATGTGAAAACAATCATCTACAGCGAAATACCTTTCCAGTTGTTGACAGCCCAGAAATTGTTTTATAAAAAAAAAAATTATAGTCTATGGTCATCCAAACCTATCCTCCTAATACTTGTTGGCACTTGAATGCCGTATTCATTTTTTTCTCACAATAAACAAGTTAAGTGATGATTCTCTTGGAATAGGAATTGAAAGGATTGCACACATGTCAGGTATACCCATAGTACTAGAAGAGCAGCTAATATGAAACACTTGATGGATACTGTAAATTGAATCCACTTAAAATGGTCCAAAGTTAATTGAGCTACTTATACATCCTAGAGATGATTTTAAATTGATCTTCCACAAGCCAGATGATACCCTCTGTTGGACCATGGATTTTATTTACCACGCTGGAGATGATATCTGTTTTGAAAATAAAAAGATAATTTAGCCTTCTGATGTAGCAGTTTGGAAATTAAAGAAAATCCTTTGTAGGTAAACTAAATAGAAATTTAGTTTCGGTGTGTTGGCAGTGTCAGGGCTGTGGGGTGGTGAGGAGGCAGTAAAACTCAACTTCTAAGACTTTGCTCTAAACCTCTCTCTGTTACTCCCTGTTACTGGTCTGAGTCAGTTTCTGTGTGTGGTCCAACTTGACTGCGGCTTAGACAGGATAGATGATCTCAAGGACTCTGCCTGCCAGTTACGTGGTTGGCGTCAATGGTCCAGAAGGAAGGCATGCAGAAGAGGCAGTGGCGTTTGTCCTGTCCAGAACTGCAACGTAAGGCCTTCTCTGGTTCTCACAAGCTAAATTCTGAAGCCGTGGTGGAAATGGTAGCTTCTCTGGCAAATTTAACTTCTACCACACCCTGTCCTTTCCATCCTCCTGAGTTGTGTACGTCTCTATTGCATGGGCATATGCAAAGCTGCAGTCAGAATGTCTACCAGTTGATAAAACATTACTTTATGCAAACGATTGTTCACTTTTGCTCTTATTCATGGATTGATAGAAACAAGGATAATTTAGGACATGCGAGATACATGCTAGGAAATTCAGAATGGGGAGTGTATATATTTAAATGTCATCGTGCTGATGGGGCGCCTGGGTGGTGCAGTCGGTTAAGCGTCCGACTTCAGCCAGGTCACGATCTCGCGGTCTGTGAGTTCGAGCCCCACGTCAGGCTCTGGGCTGATGGCTCAGAGCCTGAAGCCTGTTTCCGATTCTGGGTCTCCCTCTCTCTCTGCCCCTCCCCCGTTCATGCTCTGTGTCTCTCTGTCCCAAAAAATAAATAAACGTTGGGAAAAATATTAAAAAAAAAATAAATGCCTTCGTGCTGAAAGCTCTATTCATAACGTTCATGATATCCAAAGAAAAGCAGTGGTTTATTATTTGAAGTGCACACATAAAAATGTATAAAATGTTATGTTCACCAAAGTATTTAAACAGTTAAATGTGATTCTGAAGGAAAAAGAGGAAATAATTAACAATTACTATTTTGATTTGTTTCTTTAATGAATACTGAGTTCATACCAGGCAGCATGCTAAGCACTTTGCGTGCATTATTTTATTCTAAATGAGGTAAATTTAGTATTATTGTCCCATTTTATAGATGAGGAAACTGAAGTTTCGTGAGATTGAATAACTTGTTAGGGATCCTATACATACTAAGTGGAGCAGCCAGGAATAGGACCAGTGAGTTTATCTGGCTCCAAGCCACTAGCCCACCAAACTGGACTGAGATCAGAATGGGAGATGCGTCTATGGGGAAATAAATTGTGGGTCAGGCTGTGAACCTGCGGGTATTGGTGAAGTAGCTGCCCATGAAGGAGTGACTTCTTCCCTCTTTCCTTTCTGAAGATGACTGTCAGGATTTAAGGAGATTCTGCTTATGGGAGCCATCCAAGAAGACGACCTCATTATCAGTTTTGGTTGTGCTATAAAATGTTTTTAGCCATATTAAAAAAAAAAAGTTTTCGCATGAAACGTTTTAACTCTGGGTATTTCGATGGCAAAATATTTGGCCTCTTTTTTGTCCTTCTTATGAAATCTTCTTATGAAAATTGACAACTATAATTGAAATAAACTAAACAAAATTAATATTGAAGAGAAAAAATCATTTTTATCTTCATTTTTACTGAGTGTTACTGAGCTTTGATTCAAGTCTTTGTTGAAGAAGTGAGTGAATTTGGGAAATTAGGTGTGGATTCTGGAAATGTGTGCTGTTTTTACTCTCTACAGTATGGGTAATTGGGAGGAGGTTAGCTTGAGCTTTGAAAAGATGATTATTTTCTCTAGTACATAATTTCATTTGTATTAGTCTCTTTATAAGACTCTAATGTACCTTCTGACCTTCAGTTATATGAAAGGGATCAGTGAATAATATAGCAAAATATTTTATTTAGTTTATTAAGTGAAGTTCCAGAAGTTATTCCCTTAGCCACCTGAGAGCAGAATGTTGGAAGAAAGCTCTAGAAACGCACATTTGTAGAGAGCATTTGAAAGTAATCCTAGGAAGGGATGGTTCATAAGGAAAAGTTGATGATTTTTACTTTCATTTAATTTTTGCCCATTTATTTTTAGAAACAAATAAGGAAGATTCAAGTGTGCGTAGAAAAAATTACTCCATATTATGCATAGTTACTTTCTAGAAAATTTTGATCAATTTCCCTTTCTCTGAATCAGACTGTTGGTACCATTTAAACACAGTATGATGCCAAATGAGTAGGCAGTTTCTAGGGAATATAGTCCAATTATTTCTCTCCCTTAACATCTTGAAAAGTGTAAAAGACTTATCCTGTGAACCACTCAGCACATGTTTGCCCCTGAAATAGTTCAGCAATGGCAGTAGTAACATTTTCATTGGTCATCTTTTCAAATAGCTTATAAGGGGAAGCTATTACTGTGTGGAAAGAAAACCTTTCTATTAGGGAAAGCCTGGGCAGTGAAAACTTTTCTTCTACCTGGTACCAGATCCCCCACTCAGGGGATCTCCTACTTAGACACTGCCGTAACCAGCCATATTTCTTTGTACGTTACCTTTATGTGTGCTCCCACCTGCCCTCAAAATTTTCTGTCATTAGAAACTGCATTTATGTTGATAAGTATAAACTTTCTAGGTGTCCTGACACTTAAGGTATGGTCATTTTTTTTAAGTTTCGTTTCTATTCAGCTGTAGCCTTACATTCCAATAAGCCTTCAGAGTTTCCTCTGGACTGATTTGCAGTGTCTTCGGTGTTTGCTAGCAAATTTGGAACATTTCAGTTTGTGTCCTTTCTCTACGTGGTATGAGATTTAATTACCACTCTGTGTGAAATAGCAGCTGAAATGAAAAAAGGCAGCAAGAGAAGGCACTGGCTTACCTCACAGTTAATCGGCTATTTCCTTTCTTACATACTTCTCAGCTACAGAGAGAAAAGGGAGATAGCACTCATTAAAGTAATTCATGTATTAAACGTTTTTTTTCCTTTCTTGATTTTAACTAAAATAGGGGATTTGTTCAAATCTTCATGCAAGCAAGACATTAAAGAACACTTAATTTGCACTGGTGGCCATTGGTGCTTCTTAAATTGTGCAAAGTATTTTCATCAGGGTTGCCGGAAGTAGTTCCATCCTATTTTCTTGACATTAAACAGAGAAAACAACATTTCTAGGAATCAGATTCAATCAAATGAATGATTAATCACTTTTTATAAGGCTTAGAATTTTATTCTAATTATTAATTATTCTAATTAATCTGTAGTCATCTTAATATAGTAGTTTTGAGGGTTTTTGTTCTCTGGAGTGTGTGAGTTGATAATTAACCTATCAGGGAAAAGATTGATACCTTTACTTTTTAAAACTATTGTGGTCTGAGTTTTCACTTATCAGATGGTCAAAAATGTGAAAAGTTAGTAATATGTGGTATTGGGCAGGTATGGAAAAACATCTTCTCCACCAGTGTTTAGAGTATGTATTGTTACAACACCTCTGGAAGGAAAGTATCTTCATCAAAAATGGAAATGTGTACACCCTTTACCTATAGTTCCACCACTAGGAATCTATTGTTGAACATGTATGTATAAAAATGTTCTTAGTGGTATTATTTGTAATATAAATAGAAAAATGCAAAAAAATCATTAATAGAATATTAAACCATCATATATTTTTATCCAGATGTACCTCATTCTTTTTAATAGCTGCTCTGAAAGACACTGAAATATACTTGCATGTACTGATAAGGAATATTCTGTAAGTTACCCCATTACATGAAAGGAGCAGATAGTTTTCTTCTATTTGTGCTTCAAAAAGCAAAGGATGGAGATGTGTGTATACAGCTTCCCTCCCTCACCTCCCCTCACATGAGCATATGTTCACACATCTATAGATAGATGGATGAAAGGATACAAAAGAAACTGTTGGTAGCATTTATAGCTGGTGAATGGGACTGTGGGTCTGGAATGGAAGGCAGGTATTTTCAGTGGGGGGAAGCATACTCTTCTTGTGCTATTTGACTATTTTCTTTTTACCATACGTATCTATTATTTTTCATTATTAAAAAGAAATTTTAAATTAATGACCAGGTCTATTTTTTTCTTTTTTAGGACTCAGCCCAGGAGAGTGTTATCACTCGAGATATTCATCGTACGTTTCCTGCACATGATTACTTTAAAGATACTGGAGGAGATGGCCAGGAATCACTTTACAAGATTTGCAAGGTAGAGCCCTCCACCTCATTTTTTAAAACTTATTCTACAGGACTATATCTTAGGAACCCATCTTCCAGATTTTTTTTCTGTCTTCATTTTTTATTTGCTCTGTGCCATGTTGATGCTGGACAGCCAGAGCCCCTTGCCAAGAGAGTTCATGGCTTTACATGAGAAAGAATTCAAGAGCAAGTTTAGAGAAAGGGATGAAGATTTATTAAGTCTAGAAGTAAGAAAGGAGCTACTTCACAAAGTAGCAGTCTCTCATCCCAGATGAGGAAAAGGATCCTCTTTGCCTTGAATGAAGGGTTTTAAGTGGTTTAAAAATTTTTTCTTTTTAAATGTTTACTTATTTTTGAGAGAGAGAGATACAGAGTGTGAGCAGGGGAAGAGCAGAGAGAGAGAGGGAGACACAGAATCTGAAGCAGGCTCCAGACTCTGAGCTGTTAGCATAGAGCACGGAATGCATGAACTGTGAGATCATGACCTGAGCCGAAGTCGGATGCTTAACCGACTGAGCTACCAGGTGCCCTGGGTTTTAAGTTTTAAAATTAGCTAACCTTTATAGGAAGGGGCTTAGTCTTTAACTTTGGCTTTATCATTTGCCTGGGTGCTTAGTTTTTTCCATTGTCTTAGGATTGTGAAATTACCTACAGGTAGCAATTTTAAGAGTGTCTGGCCTTTCTGGCTTTTACTGCCAGAGGGAATAGGGTCCTGTGGTTTTCTGAGTCAGATTTTGTGACCCTTTTTATGACCTGCTGGCTTTTAGGTTAAAGGTCAGCCTAAAACCAAAATGACTTTACTTAAGTCAGTTTGTCTCCTCAGTCTCCTTTCCTTCTTGCCTTAGTTATCTCTGCTCAGTACTGAGTCCTGAAGGTGACTTTTTGGCTGCATGTCCCATGCCTGCTTGTCAGGGAGGGGGCGCACTATGACCTCATTTTGCTGCTAAGGAGAAAGGAACTAAAGGTCCTCTCAGGCTACTGTAGTAAAGGCTCAGAGGAGTCCCGATGACTGCCCTTATGACAATTTAATGTGGCGGTTGTCTCAATTTTTGGACAATACATAAGGGTAAGAAACAATGTGGTTTTTTGATACTATCGAGGTCTCCGATATTACTAGTATACCCTGACTTATGCCACATAATACATCTTTGTGCAGTTTTTATGTCCCATTTTGAAACGTTTTCCCTCATTATTAGTAAACCTGAAAGAAAACCTTTTCCTGAATTTTAGTAAATACGCTCTACTTGGATAGAAAAGATTCTGTTTCTGTTAATGGAGAATAGCTGTCAGATTGGTAATTTTTCAAGGTTATATCAGAAATGCAAAATGACTTTTTAAATCATTGCATATAGTTAACTCATATAGCGAATGCTAATTGAGGCCAAAAGCTAAAAACTGCAAAGTCCATTAAACAAAGTTTTGCCCTTTATCCTCAAATTTAAGATGCCTTACAAAATGTGGTGGGTAAACTCCACATTGTCCTCACCTACCATCCCAATAAAGGTTATTGCTGAATGGCGGACTACAAGAAAATCTTGTAGTAATATGGAGAAAAGGCAAGTACAAGGGCTAATTTATAAGTTAGGTAATCAGTTCTTGAATAATTAAATTTATCCTTATATTGAGTAGTAAAAATGGGCCAGTTGGACATTCAGAAGTATGTTCATATATCAGTGTCATTTTATATTTACTGATTTTTTTTTAAATGTTATTTATAAAAGCCCTTGCCTGCTTGTGCTAGCAAGTAGGATGGATGGCCTAATTCTGCAAATGGCACAGCTTTCATTAAAACCCTTCTTGCATGTTTGTAGTTTAGCCCTCTGCCCTCTCCTATCTTCCCTTCCCCCTTCCCCTTCCCCTTTCCCTTCCCCTTTCCCTTCCCCCCCTTCCCTTCCTTTCTCTTTCCCTTCCTTTCTCTTTCCCTTCCCATCTCTTTCCCTTCTCTTTCCCTTCTCTTTCTCTTTTCTCCAATGTAGCCATTTGGAGGATGATGAACACTGATCAGAAATGTTTTTTTATATGGTTATATCGTCAGAGCTAGAAATGCAGAAATAACTTAAACTCTGAGAGTGTACTGACTTCTGGAAAATAATACATCATCTAGTTTTAAAAATGCCACAAACCATTGAACACCCCTACAGATGTATATTCATTATATGATTGTAAAAGGCAAAAGTAATTATTAAAAATTTTTCTACCAGTTTTGAAATTCAGCTAATTAGCTTCTGGCTTATATAAGGATGATAACAAAATTTATATAGTTTTTAAGTTTATGTAGAAGGGTCTGATCTATGATATACAGGAGAACATTTTCCTCCTAGCATTCAGCATATTTTCAGCCAAACTTTTCCCTCAATTTTTCTCTGGTTGATACTAGATAATTTTTTCACATAACTAAAACAGATGGTTCTGTGTGCTTGCAGCCTCTGACTTAACAATTTTGCTCCATTGTAGTAAAAACAGTATTTCTTTCCCTCATTATATAATATTTACAGGAGAAATATCTGAACCACTACCAAACACAAAAATAAAAGTTAAATAGTTGGTATATTTAAGTAGTTGATATCTCTTGCTTGGATATGGCAGATAATAATCCAACCTTGAATTCATTAGAGAGTACTCATTAGTACATTCACGCAGCTTGTGTGGCCATGTTAGATCATCAACATGATTTTGCAACATGATTAGACAGTTTTAAAGCCCTTGCTGAGTTAAGAGTATTAGAACAGGGGTGCCTGGGTGGTTCAGTCACCTAAGTGTCCGACTTCGGCTCGGGTCATGATGTCGCAGTTGGTGAGTTGGAGCCCCGCATCGGTTTCTGTGCTGACAGCTCAGAGCCTGGAGCCTGCTTCAGATTCTGTGTCTCCCTCTCTTTCTCTGCCCCTCCCCCACTCGCACTGTGCTTTCTCTCTCCCCAAACATAAAATAAACATTAAAAAAACTTAAGAAAAAAAGAGTATTAGAACACTGTAGCTCTAAGATACCTTATAAATGTTGAGCATTTTAAATTACATTTTGTAAAAATGTGGAAAACAAAAGAATCATATTAAAAGCATTTCAAAACTCAGGATAGTAAATAAAAGTTGCTAAGGCTTATAATGTTGTACTAAAATATATATTACCTAAACATTTTACAGTGCCCTTTGATAATGGGAGAGAGCAGAGATTAATATTTCAGAATATGTTGGAGAAACCAAAATTTGCTGGGGTCCTAATTGGCACAGTTCCTTCTTCTCTTGATCTGTTATGTAGTGATTCAGCGCTCATGCAGGGAAACCTCAGGTGGTGGTGATAACTCACAAATTGTGCATACATTTTCCTTTGCTTTTTCTATCCAATTTGAGCCATAGTCTTTCATTTTATAACTTTCATCCCATATCCCCCAAAGTTGCTATATGTAAAAAGGCCATTGAGTGTGGTCTGCCTGTTATATCACTTTTATTCCTAGAATCATATCCAACATCATACCTCACACTCTCAGCAATACACCTTTGAGTTTCTGTCCTGGATAGCTTGCACAACCTGAATAAACATTAATAATACCTTGATTTAAAAAGGCTTCTTCTTTACCAATTTTTTTTTTCTTCCTTAATCTTTTTCTTGTCTTACTGCACTGGCCAGAATCTCCATTAATAGTACTAAAATGAAGCAATTATAGTGGACATTCTTGTCATGCTCCTTATTGTAATGATTTACCATTAAGAATGATGTATCTTATTTCACATCAGCAACACACTATAGATCTTTTTTTTTAATACGGTGTCTTTCATGTGTTATAATAATTTCACATTTACAAAGTACTTTCACATATATTACTTCATTTATTTCTGACAACTTCTTATCAGTGGAGCCTATACTAGAAATATAATGTGCTGTGCTCTTAAATTGAGACAGAAATTATTAAGAGAATTTCAATTATAATAAGTGTGGAAATCAATTCTGGTTTCAAGGATATAGAAGTCTGACTTTGTAGTTAAAAAGTTTTCTGTGGCTCTGGTGAAATGAGAAATGATCTGAACTGTCAGATTAGAGGGAAGACTGTTAAAAACTTGCTGTCATGTTTTAATGGCCCTGTCAATTTCAGTTTTTTGCCTCTTAATATCTTTTTCAAAGTAGGAGGAAATTGAAATGGTTCAAAGATCCCTCTGTTGTCATAAATTTATGTGTGGAAGTTAAACTGAAAGTATAATAGAATTCATAGGATTCTGAAAATGAAAATTTAGGGTTCTCCTAACTCCCTCCATCCCTCCCTTCCTCCTTCCCTTTTCTTGTCTTTCCTATTAGGTCAATAACATATTTTAAAATAGTGTCCTTGAAAGGAGGGAAAAAATGCTAGCACCCCAAGTATCTTTAGCACTTTTTTAATTTAAATATGTTATAAAGTCTATTTTGAGTTAGAAGACAGGTTGGCACAGTTTAAAGGACTGAACATCAGGAAATCTGGTTCTTGATTCTTAAGCAGACCTAAGACTCTGGGAAAATCACTTTTTGGATTTCCTCCTCATTAAGACTGTGGGGTTTGATATGATTATTCCAATTCTAATTTGAAGTGATTATAAGTGTTTAAGTTTTTCCTTAAAATATAACAGATGAGTGCAGAATTTAACAATTCCCATGTCAGGAGTTATATATATATATATATCCAGCCATCTCTCAATACCAGTGTTAGAAGTAAGTGTGATTTAACTTTACAGACTTCACCAGCTTTCTATTATTGTGTTTGGGTGTGTGTTTCATGCACACATGAAATGGAATAATTTAGTGATTTACTTTGAGATGTACATCTCTTTAAAAACCTGAAACAAGTCAGTCATAGAAATCAGCTAAAATATTGTTCACAACAGTACAGATTGAAGAGACTCTTCGTGTGCAATTTAATTTGAGTATTATTGCCTTTTCTAATTTTCTGATTTGAGTAACTGCTTTCTGAAAAAGAGGCTACTGCTGTGAGTTGAATGGGATGGGCTGAATATATTACAGAGAGATCAATACCTTTCCTCATCTGGGTTA